GGGAACTCACGGGTTCGGAGTTTGAGGGATATGGGGCTTTAGGGCTTTAGATTTTAGGGTTTGGTCTCCTAGGCCCTAGGTACCTTAAAAGGGTCGCGCGGCAGCGGCCTCTATGTTTTGGGACATACGCGGCAAGTGCTGTAAATTACATGACTTCGCGCGTGTGGCTGTGGAAATGAAGGGATTCGTGCTTCAGGAAATCTAGGGACTCAAACTTAGGGCACTCATTTTGGCATTGGCACACGCTCCCAAAGTGATCCGCGACATCCGCTTTGGGATCGAACTGCGAGCGCCAGACCCAGCTGTAGATGTATTTAACGAGGCGCACGTTGTATAAAGAGGCAAAATCCCGGCAAATAGCAGGATTTTGGGCATGCTTGCAACATGGCATGAACACTTGTGACACGGCTCGTGTTGCTGAACATTAAGCATTTTTCTGTAACATGTTGTATAAAGAAGCAAAAAAGCTGCAAATAGCAGGGTTTTGGGAATGTTCGCAAATGTCATGACAGTTCTAACCAGCCTGCACATGCTGTATAAGCAGGCAAACACGCCGTAAATAGCAGAGTTTTGGTTTGGTTTGTGTAACATGGTCGCAACCACCCCACTCCTCCCGCCCCCCCCCATCCCCCCTCCCAACCCCACTCACCCCCTCTCCGGATACGCAAAGTGAAGAACAGCACATGGCCAGGTACGCGTGCGTGGGATTGGGGCTTTAGGGTTTAGGGCTTTAGCCTTCAAGGTTAGGCATGGTTACTTGGAGGCTAAGTAGGGTTATAATTGAGGTAGCTCCATTTAGGGTACTTATAACTCGACTTATAACCTGCTTACTAAGTCCCCTGGGCCTCCAAGTATAAGGGATCCTTAATATCTTACCTAGCTTCATCCCACCCTGTGAGGCCTCCGATTTCTGGGTCAGAGTCCTGGTTCCCCACTAACGCCCTTCAACAACAACGCGCGTTAACTTTTTTGTCCGTGTATCTTGTCTCAGTCAGGATCCGAAAAATGGTACTACTGGGGGACCAAGAAATGCTCGTATCACGAAGGGATTCTAAACCCCTAAACCCTAGACCCTACACCCTAAAGCCTTCGAAGGAATCCATGTAAGGCCAGCTATGTACATAAGTTGGTCTTTTGGTATACAGGTGGATCATGGATGTCTCTATGTCTATGAAAACACCCTAAATATACTCCCACCACAAGTCTTTAAGCAGCCCTACATACACTCACTCTGTAATAGGTGCTATTCTGCCCGATACAAAAAGGATGTTGCTGTTGTATATAGGAGCCTGCTGCATTGTGGTACAGTTCTGATTTAACTCCTAACTGAAGGCTGCTACAACGTATTCAAACCGATTCAAACCTCTCTGTTGTTACCCTAAATCCTAAACTACCCAAACCGTCTCATCAGACTCGACCTTGGAAGCGTGGACCTCTCGTACATACTCGTACAAACTATACCCAGAAACTTCAACCCAACCAAGGAACATCTAGCAAAAAGCAAAAGGCCTACCCAGTTCTGAAATCCGCGTACACCCCTGTTCAAGCAAGAAGCTGGCTCAGAAGCAGCCGAAACTATGCCTAAGAAAAGGCTAGTGACCTTCAGAGGCTTTTTTGTGGCCACTGGGAAATGAGGGGCCTAAATAATTACCAGTACTATTTTTGGGTGCTCCTTATTATAAATATAGTATACTGGGCCCCAGAACCCTATTCTAATTATTAATGCCCCTATAAATTAAGCCGCTTGTCTGACACCAGACCCTCGACCTTAACCCCTACAGACCTATAGACCCATCCATGCCCCCCAACAACTTACTTCCCCAATAAGCCAGGAAATAAAAGGTTAAACTTTCAGAATGCTACAAAATTAGAACCCGAAAAGTTTCCCCAAACCCTAAACCCTAAACCCTCAACCCTAAACCCTAAACTAAAGGTTGGGTATGAGGGAACTAAGACAAAGAAGCCTTAGTTGCCAGGGCCCGTGCTGCCAGGAGCCCGGACCTCGCATTTTTGATTCTTGAGCGCTTGGGCTTTAACTTAGGGCTTCAGGCCCTAAACTCTGAACCCTCAAGCCACAAACCCTAAACCTAGAACCCTAAACCCTAAACCCTAAACCCTTAAATCCTAAACCCTAGAAACCCTCATCCCTCAACCCTAAATCCAAAGTCTCGGTACCTTTACAGGTGCTGTGGTGGCGCCCCTTTCACCGGGACAAGGTTTGCATGAAGTTCTGCTGATGCTCCGGTTTAGGGTTGAGGGTTTAGGGGCTCCCAAACCCTGAGCTCCCAATCCTCGATCTCTCCGCCCCTAATCTAAGGGCCTTAATCTTTAGGGTTTAAGGTTTAGGGGTTTATATAGGGTTTAGGGTTTCTGAGGTTTTTGTGCTTTTCTCATAAGAACGAATCCAAGAAATATAGTTTTACTAGGTCTTAGGTATTGCTACATATACACTCCTAAACCGTTTCCGAATCTCAGATTTGGCTTCGGAATTCGGGCTCTAGGGGTTTAGGGTTTAGCGTCCATGACAGGCTTCATGGTTAGTTTGAGCCTAGGCTCTATGACATATTCATATGGGACTACAGGAGGGATTTTGCTGATTATTCGAGCTTCTGCACTATCGTAAGCATTCGTCGAAGACTTCATGAAAACCACCTCGAACTGGGGGAGGATGCGCACGAGCTGCCCGAGATGGGGAACGCATGCAGCACATGTGATTTTGCAGGACAGCCCTAAACCCTAAATCTTAAACCCTACACCCCAAACCCTACACCCTAAACCTTAATTTAAGGAAACTACAGGTGGGGAGTTTAGGATATATATATATATATATACATATGTATATATATATATATATATATATGGCTTCTATAAGGCTTCTATAAGGTACATCGACCTTCTATAAGGCTCCTATAACGGTAACTACCCACCCGAAAATGTCCTAGACTTAAACACGTATACACCCTAAACCCTAAACCCCAAACCCTAAACCCTAAACCCTCAACCTTAAACCCGTATACACCCTAAACCCTAAACCCTAAACCTTAAACCCTACACCCTATACCCTAAACCCTAAACCCCAAACCCTAAACCCTCAACCTTAAACCCGTATACAGTCTAAACCCTAAACCTTAAACCCTAGACCCCAAACCTGAGTCCCCACCGAGGCCTCGGCCCAGCCGAGACAAGCTGAAGCACTTCGCATGGATAGGGCAGCCTTGGTTGCTTTTGAGTTAGGGTTTAGGGTTTAGGGTTTAGGGTGGGCCTGCGTCAATTTCTTGTATGGATCTAAGGATCCCAACCCCTAACAACTCTAAACCTGAAACCTTTAATAAATGCTGAACTCTAAACCCCTAAACCCCTAAACTCTAAACCCCAAACTTCAAGACCCGTCTTTGGGCTTGGAGCTTGGGCTCGAGCAATCAAGGTTTAGTGTTTAGGGTTTTGGGGTTAGAGAAATGTACTCAGCACACTGAACTCACGGTTTCACGGAAAGGTGAGCCTGACATTTCGGCTGCGTCATCTGTTCATGTCACGAAGCTAGATCGACACGGGACAAACATTATCGCTACACTCTCAAATCCAAAGACAGAAGAAGGGCACCTAAGAGGGGACTCGCGTATGGGGGATTGAATCTATAGAATCGGGCTTGGAGCTATATAACTAAAATAGCTACATATTCAGTACACAGAAACAATGGGAATCTAAAGACACCTCTGCAACAAGGCAAGACTCAATACTCAGCGCTAGACATTACAAACCGCAATGTCAAGACAGGTTTTCTTCGGCATGATGCAGGTGAGGTTTGAGCCAAACACGACACCAGGGCTACCACAGATCGTCCTATAGGCACAAGCAATGAGGGCGGTGTCGGCTCCAACATCTCCGATCTTGGCAATGATGCTCTCCTTCGTGTCATCTAGAATGATACGAAGTTGTTTCTGCACCTCGCGATGAACCATCTTGACGCTCCTCGTCGTTGCCGTCGCTGTTGTTCTGGTTCTTGCCGTCGCTCTACCCTAACCCCTAAACTGCGACGTTGTCCTGCGCTTCGTCGGTGATGTCAAAACCCACCTTCGCATGAGTCGCGATGTCGGCCTCTGCTCACAGTGCTTGCCCACAACAAGTGCTCCACGAACAAGTCTACATATATGGGTAGGTCTCTCTAAATTAGTGTCCCTTGTCATGTAGTACGGCATCCTTACGATAAGGACCCAGGGTTCAGGATCCCCCCAAAGCCTATCTGGGTTCGAAACTCTTGGTTTAGTCCAGCCCAAATGCTGCTACTTTTACTGTCGTCGTTGCGCGATTGCCTGATGCTGCCACCCAGACTTCGTGCTAGAACGATGAGAAAGCGAAGGCTAGAAGGCGACCCGGCAGGTGCCCTAAACTCTATACCCTAAACCAGCAGGGGGGGAGGGTATGTAAAGCTCTCTCTGTGATAACCCCAAGTCCTAGGACTCCCATATTTAAAGGGTCCTACGTACCTATGTTTTTGTAGTAGAATGAGGGTTTTTATAGTAGGAATTACTCTTATGGTTAGGGTAAGTATCCGTCGTAGTATAATGGTACTTAGGACCCTTTGGGAAAACCATAACACCGTACTAGTTCCAACGAACCTCTAAACAATCTTGGAGGCAGGTCCTGGCCCTGGGTCCTAACACCTCCCCAACAGCCTTTCACAAGAGGGTTAGGGTTTAGGGGTTTAGGGGTTTAGGGGTTTAGGGGTTTAGGGTTTAGGGTTTAGGGCTTAAGGGAAAGGCTAGATTTTTCAGCATCCAGCTTGATGTGAAACCCAGATAGAAGGTGCTACTTGGGGAGTTCTTAGTTGAAGCCCTTCAACCTAGACCCGAACTTTGGCTGCTGTCCTCGAACCGTTGAGCCCTCCAAACCTCTAAACCTAAAATCCCTAATCACTTGTCAGGCATAACCCGATAAACCCTATAAGCCCTGAATGACCGATGCCCACTTAGGTCCTGAGAGACTTAGGTCCTTAGAGACGATCAGTCGAGCAACTCGACGTCCTCTCCCTTCGCTTGATGTGCAGCTACATTCTGGGCGTTGGCCTGGCAGGGGCGGCATTGATCGACATGCTGCGGCTGTACATATCTGAACCCCGGAAGTTGGAACATAGTTATCCACATACCCCCAACACAGAATACAGGATATCCAGCACGAAAAATCTTTAACCCATGTTCAAACTTTATGGCTTTTACTATCGACTCGGGTGTCACCTGCAGCCCCCTAAACCCTAGAATCGTGGGTTGATCATCATGATGATCATGCTGTCGAGCGCCCTTACAGAGGAGAGCAGGCTTTCAAGCTCAGCTCACTGCCATCGGAAAAACGTGCGCTGTTGGTCAGCATGGTTGAGGTCCACACTCCGCAGTGTGCAACGGAAGTAGGCCCTGTTGTAGGCCTTGTTGCCGGAGATGCGGCTGCTGAGCACAAGTCTGCCGTGCCGGCCAGCCCGGCGGCAATACGGACAGGCGATTCGGGGGGAGCCAGTTTAAGGGGCTTAGGGAAAGGCTTGCAAAAGGACAAGGCGGAGTGCGGCGGGCAGAGCCGGCGCAATTAAAACAAAAAGTTTAAGGACCACCCTCCCCGTAAAAGCAAAAACACTTCGCTTGAAGTGTAGATGCCTGGGGGCGTTGCGCAGTCCATAAAAAACTGCGCTAAGAAAGGGAATCTGGAAAAGGCCCAAAAACCCCAATGTGCGGACCTGGAATTCGGAAAGGGTTTGGAAACGGCCAAACAAATCGAATTTGGAGCCTTGGAAAACGGCACATGCGGGGCTCCAGTCAAGGTTTACAACTCGGGGCTTCAAGGTTACTCTAAACCCAAAATACCTTTACTAAACCCTACACTACAAACCTTAAGCACTAAACCCGAAAGCCACAACCCTGACCCCCGAACCCTAAATTCCAAACCCTCAAACGCCAAAACCGAAACCCTAAAGCCTAAACTCTAAGGCCCTAAACCCCAAAACCCCAAAGCCTGCATCCTGAACCATGAATCCTAACCCTAACACCTAAAACTAAACCCATTGGGGCTTCGTGACTCAAGCTCGAGGGTTTTGCCGAACTGAACATCGTCATGCGGAGCCCTTAATTAATGATTAGAATAGAGTTTGGAGGGTCCATTCTACTATAAATATAGCAAGCAAGCCCCCCCAAAAAATAGTATTGGTAATTATTTAGCCCCCTATGTTGACCCTCAACCTTGTGACCCTAAACATAAGGGCCTTAATTTTTAGAATTGGGTTCCTCAAAAGGGGTCCTTTAAGCAAGCCGATAAGGGTTTCTATAACGTTCCAGTATAGGGGCCTTAATAATTAGAATAGGGTCCGGAGTTATATTCTACGATAGAGATACTAAGGAACCCTACGGAAAAAAATATTGGTAATCATCTGCAGTTCCCATATGAGATCCCCTAAACCCTAAACCCTACACCCTATATGAGATCGAAGGCTCCGAACCCTAAAAACCCAGATCAGGGCTCCTTCCCCAAACCCCCAAAAGGATCTAAAAAATAGATCCCCTAAGGGGGGTTCCTATAAAGTACCCTTGAGTAGTTAGGGTCCCTAATTAGGGGATCTATTTTTTTAGATCCTTTTGGGGGCCTGGGTCCAGGATTCTTGCCGAGGGTTTCTATGAGGATAGCATCTAGGGCTTAATAGAGGGGCCTAAGTATTTAGAACAGGGCTTTGGTGCAAATTGTAGTATAACATTGAGAAGACTGGTAATCGTTCACGCCTCTAGAGTAAACCAAACCCCAAAACAACCTTAGATCGCGGGGGCCTGAACAATAAGACACTTGTTTCCTAATGACGATGCAGGGACGGTTTATCAAATACTACGCAAAAATTGCCCGAGGCCCAGTAGTAAACCCGAGCTCGACTCAGCCACCGAAAGTCCAAACCCAAGCCAGAAAAAACATTGAAACCCTTAACAGCTTTAAAGTTAAACCTAACTGCTCCCAGTCCTCTGAACTCTGAAAAGCCCAGTTCGACAACTATGCCGGGAGTGCCAGTGCCAACCACTCCCGGACCTGCCCGACGGGAGTCTTTAACGGTCCTCTAAAAGATCCTGTAAGCGCCCTCAGTGGATTCCTTTGGAAAGGGTGCCTTAAACAACAAATTAAGACGAGTTCATCCTAGAAGTGGCTCTTTTCAGGGGTTCCCCTTCATTTCAGGGCTTGGCCTGACGCCACGCAGGTTCGACCCCTCCCCGCTTTCATGTTTTGCAGTGTGACTTCCTTATACATGTCCGAAAACAAAAATCCCTAAACCGTAAAAAAGTGGGTATATGGAGGCGGTTGAGGTAGGGTCTACAGTTCAGGGGTCAGGCCTGCTGTTGTTCCTGAACCCTACCCTACTAAACCCTAAACCCTAAACCGTCAGGGCAACTCCGAACCCTATGCTCTAAGTTTTAACTAGATAAACTCTGAAGCACACGGGCTTAAGGTTCAGGGTTTTCCAAAGGGTCCTAGGTACATATGTATATGCATATACATATATCTATATATATATATATATATAGTAGAATGCAAGGCTTTCATATTCGGACTTAGTTCTATGATGTGGGGAAGCATCCCCCATAACCGTACATAGGGCCTAGCCACAAGGATGGAGCCAAACGAAAGCGCAGCTGGAGTGTAGGAAGCTAGTCAAGAATCACAACATCACGCCACACGCGAACTATAAGAGTTTCCGATAAGCGGGCTAGGGTAGTTCTCTAAATTAGGGTGCCTCTCCAGGTCCCCCAAGATAGCACGGCACCCTTATAAAAAGGATCCTATAAGGGGCCCTAGTTTAGACAACTACTCACTAGGTCCCAGCAGTCGCGGGGAGGGCCGGCAAGAGTCACGAGGTTCAGCATCCAGTCCCTGGGACTTTCGGCACTGCAAGGTCGAAAGCCGCTGATGGCGATAGTCTTAGGGTTTAGGGTTTAGGGTTTGTGGTTTAGGGTTTAGGGTTTAGTCTTAGGGTTTAGGGTTTAGGGTTCAATGATTCTGGTGCCATCCCTCCCGGACCATGTAAAATGCGTACCGCATGAAGGCTCCCTGATCGAGCCAGGATGTCGAAACAAACACCTGCATCTTTCTCACGCACAACCCTAAACCCTAAACGCTAAACTCTAACCCTAAACCCTAAACCCTTTCTCAAGCACAATTTGCCCACTGGCCTTTGCCTCGGCATCATTTGCCGAGGCAAAATTCTTCGCCCCACATGGGTAGTTCTCTAAATTAGGGTCCTTTTGGGGGTCCTTTTTATAAGGGTGCCGTATTATAATGGGGACCTAAACAGGGACCCTAATTTAGAGAACTACCCACATGTTGCCTGAATTGAGCCTTCCGGAGGTTGTCATTGGGACGGCGCTCCGACCAGGCCCGGTCCATCCAAATGGACCGAGACTGCAAGTCTGCAATCAATCTCTGCTTTGGGTTATCAAAGGAAACTACAGGTGGGGAGTTTAGGGTCTATAGGGCTTGTATAAGGCTTCTATAAGGTATATAGACCTTCTACAAGGCTCCGATAACGGTCACTACCCACCTGAAAATGTCCTAGAGTTCAGTAGTAAAGCACATGGTGTCCCGAGTGGACGGCTCCTCAAAGAGTCAGTCGAGTGCTGTAGCCCCCAACCTTGAAAGCCCCGAGCCGCTGAACCTTGATGCTAGAATACAGTTTAGGGTTTAGGCTTTATAGGGTTTAGGGCTTACGTAGGGTTTAAGGCTTAGGCTTTAGAGTTTAGGGCTTAGGATTTTGTGATACCCTCACAGCACAAGTTCTGTGCAAGCGAGGGAAGGAACTAATTAAAAGGCCCACGGCCTTTGCAGTGTCCGACCCTCGAACACATGAAAGCTTGCATACAGTCATGCAATGCCCGACCGCTTAGGATTTAGGCTTTCTGCATCGCCTCGTCCAAGCGAAGACCTTCACCCGACAGCACTCTCTGTCACTTGCAAAGCAAGATGTTTAAGGTTTCGGGTTGCGGGTTTAGGAAGTAAGACGCATTCTTGTTTGTCTGATGTCTGTCTATCTGTCAGCCTGGCTGTATGCACGCATCCGTTCATCCATCATACTGTATATCTTGGAAGTCCAAATTCCTGAACCCTGAAGTCCCGAAACCCAGTAGACTGAGCCTGCACTACCAAAGCTTACGAGCCTACCCTCAACCCTGCAAAAACTGATCCAAGCCTAAACCCCAAGCCCTAAACCCCGAATTAAACCCTAAACCCCTAGACCCTCTAAACCATTCTAAACCCCTAAACCCCCTAATTAAAATCCTAAACCCCTAAACAATCCTGAACCCCCTAAACCCCAAAAAACCCCAAAGCCCAGTTCTTCCCAACTCAGACCTGGAGGTCGATGATCGCAGAGCCCAGGACCTCGCTGACCCGGAGCATCCGAGAAGGCTTCGGGCTAGTTTAGTTGAGGTTTAGAATTTAGGGCTTTTGGGTTTTTGCTTTAGGGTTTTGCTTTAGGGTTTTGGTTTAGGGTTTTGGTTTAGGGTCTAGGGCTTTTGGGTTTTTGCTTTGGGGTTTAGGGCTTTTAGGTTTAAGCTTTTCGTGATTTTTGCTTTAGGTTTTTGGGCTTCTGCTTTATGGTTTAGGGCTTTTGGGTTTTAGGGGTTGGAGGTTTAGAGTTTGGGCTTGGCATTAAAACGTCCTGTAAGCCGCAATCCTGACCAAGACGCGCACCCCTAAACCCTAAACCTAAACCCTATACCCCTAAACCCTCAACCTTAAATCCTAAGCCCTCAACCCTAAACCCTAAACCCTGAACCCTAAACACACAACTCCTCCCACACCCCAGGTCTTAGAACCGGCAAGCCTGAGCCCCAAACCCCAAAACAACAACCTTCATACATTCCTTAAAGGAACCTTTATACATCCCTGAATGCCCCCAGAAGCACTAGAACAGGAACTCCAAATTCCAACACAAGACGGCCCAGTTTCTCGTTACAAGAACCCGACAACACCCCTATACAACCCTGTATAGCGTGAGATGTATATGCATATTCAACACTGAAAAAGGTAGATATAAAGGTAAAAGTCGTATAATGTAAACATATGAATACCAAGTTCTGAACAAACGAAACAAAGAATGAATTGACGAATGAATGCGTGAATGAATGAACTATTGAAAGAAAGAAGAAAGAAGGAAGGCATAAACCACTGAGTGTAAACATATATATATATACATGTATGTGTATATATATATATGTATACATATATATATATATATACATACATACATACGTACATACAGACATACATACATACATTCATGTGCACATGGGCGTGTATATGCATGCGTTCCAGGCATCCATGCGCAGCGGTCCGCCCCGTGGCGCTGCACTAGCCGCAGTGCCAGGCCTTGGCGAACAAGGGCAAAAGGTTTCGTCGTAGGGCTCCGCAACGGGTTCCTGATTTTTATATTGGTTTACAAGGCTTCCGGTTTGAGGCTGAGAGATGAGAGAACTGGAACTGTATGACTGTATGAGGTTATATACACAGAATTAAATGTTGAGTAATTGAACCAAAACTCTGTTGCGACCATAATCTTTTGTGTACATTCTGCTCCGAAATGCAGTTTGCGCTTGTCGCGACTACGGTTGGGTTAGCTTTCCGACTGGCAAAGCATGCCTTCAACTTTGCCCGTGCTTTGCCCACTCCGGTAACACACCACAAAGTATACGCAAAGCCCATAATAATGCAGGAGCCTGCGTAAACGGGTATGTTTCATTATGACACATTGGCGACAGATATTACGCATTCAGGCGGCCGAGCACCGATAACGCCTTCGTCTGAGCCTGGTGACCATGTCAGACCCAGGAGCTCAGAAGTCAATTTTCGGACATCTAGGCTCGCCGAGTAGGTTTGGGGGGTTAAGGGTTTAGGGAAGAGTTTGGGGTTTAGGTCGCGTTCAAGGGTTTTGGGTTTAAGTCTTTTAAGTTTAGGGAAGCGAGTCGCGAATGTTGGACTGGGCCTCAGACCCTGTTGCAGCGATTAGTGCCAGGAACCTAGAAACAAGTGCTTCCTGGATGCTTCATCAGCCTGCTCAGCACTACCCGAGGCTTGTGATTTGAAAAGCTCATATTCCGGACGTGTGTCTTGTTATAGCTTGAAGTTGCGCTTGAAGCAGCACAAGCCTTTGACTGCACGGGCCCCCCCTGCCCGCCCCTTTGTATCTGCGCCAGCCCACCGGCCTATGTCGACCTGCAAGGCTTGCCAGTTTTCAAAAGTATCGCATGAACACGCGTGGCCTTGCTGCGAGCTGGCGGCGACCGGGTGTCCATGGAGTATGTGGCAATTTCGCAGCCCACCTTGCCGGGGATGTCTTTTTGTTAACGACAACCAGTCTTTCGAATTGTCCCTTGAAAGTCGAAAGTAAAACGTTTTGGCTGCCAAGTTGCACCCCGTGGTTTTGTTGGAGATTGCTCTCCGAAACGGGGCGCTTTGGGAAAGGCCATGGCGCACACGGGGGGCCTCTTTGTAAAAGCCGTCAGCAGATTGCAAGAAACAGCTGCGACGTTGGCCGTGGAGCTCTTTAGCAGTCGGCCGTGTTGGCACGACGATATGCACATATATAAATTCAAGTAAAAATAAATAAATAAATATATATATATATATAGAGAGAGAGAGAGCGCGCACCACGTTCATGCATGTGGTGCGTGTCTGTGCATAACGTTACAATCAACCGTGTACTGGAGCACCTGCCAAGACAACCTGCGCAACTTCACAACGTTATGCGGCCGCTTCTCAGTCTACCCAGATTCGATCCAGCCTCCGTCACATTCTCGGCCCAACCAAGCTTTGCGATAGCCCTGGTTGGTGCTAGGATCCAATGAAAGCCTGTTATGGACAAACTTGCAGAAAGAGTCCACGCTTCTGCAAGCAGTTACGGCAAGAATTGCCAATCTGAAAGGCTCGCACTCGTGACTGTTTTGTTTGCCCACGGTACATAAAAAACAACATGTGAGTGAAGCCCAAGCATCAATCATCTAAATCATCTGAAGCCTAAGCCTAAGAGCATCACAAGCAGGTGCGCAAGACCCGCCGCTCCATGGGTTCTTAGCAAGAAGACAAGCTCAAATGCTCAAATGGACAACGCTGCCAACGCTAGGCGCAGGACATGCACCGGCGGCAACGAATAGCCTCATCGGCATCGAATTTGCGCAGAGCAGCGAAGTCTTCGACCCATGCAAAATCAACATCGAGCACATGAAGCTTCTCGCGTTTCAGATGGAACTTCTTGTGGCGTCACATCTCGTGGACACCACTGACAGACTGACAGGCGCCACTCTTGCTCCATGTTACTGTAGGATGAACCTCGAGCAGGCCCAGCACATGATGTGTTTCGTCTTCAACGTGGTCCGCCGAGAAGACCACCGAAGAGCAGACTGACCGCATCCTGCACAACAGCGCGGCTGCTGTCTTGAGCTCTGACCTCGTGACACGTTGCTGGCGGACATCTGTCAGAATCGTGGCTCGAAAGTCAGCGACCGCGATGTTGGAGAGGTTTCGTCGCACACTGATTGCACATGCATTCTGCACCGACATGCGCTTACCAGTCTTGCCGATGGGCACAATCTCAAGGTTTGATCGCTTGGCCATTTCTTCATCCAGCCTGTTCCCGCAGTCCCGAAACCCAAAACCTACAGCATATAGTCTCGAGATTGAGCAGTATGGGTTTGGCGAGGATTGTGCCTCTAGGGTTTCGGGGTTTGTGGGTGCATGGGTTTAGGGTTCCGGGGGTTTAAGGTGTGGATGCAAAAACATTAGAAAACAGAGTCAATTCCCAAACCCTAAACCCTAAACCCTAAACCTTAGGCCCTAAGCCCTAAACCCCGAACCCTAAACCCTAAACCCTAAACCCCAAACCTTAGGCCCTAAGCCCTAAACCCCGTAACCCTAAACCCTAAAACCTCGGACCGGAGCTCTATTGCTAAGACCGCCAAGCTAAGTCGCCGGCGACTCTGTCTCGGCAGGTTCACCGACAGCTCCTTCAGCAGGTCTGCGCATAGGGTTTAGGGGTTTAGGGGTCTAGGGTTTAGGGTTTGGGGCTTATAGGGTTTAGGGTGTAGGTGTTTAGGGTTTAGGGGTTTAGGGTTTGGGGGTTTAGGGGTTTACGGTTTAGGGTTTAGGGGTTTAGGATTTAGGGGGTTAGGGCTTAGGGTTTGTAGGGTTTAGGGCTTTGGGGTTTAGGGTTTAGGGCTTTAGGGTTTAGGAAAGTTTAGGGTTTAGGGTGTAGGGGTTAGGGGACTTGGAGGATCATGCAGCTGAGTAAGCATGTCCCTTGAACTTCAACAACCCATTCATGACGGATACGACCTCATATCAAATACAAAGGATCGCTCTACGCTTTAGGGTGCAAGTAATGTAGGGGCTATACTGATTAGAATAGGGTTTTGGGGTATATCGTACTATAATGCTAATAAGGACCCGCCCCCCCCCTCCAAAAAAAAAAGAAAAAGTACAGGTAATTATAAAGGCGCCTATATGATGTTGCTGCGTATTGATTTGAGTGCGGAGGACGGTGGGTTCTGATCGGAGCCACGTGGCCCAACTAGTTGGAGTCATCCGACGCGACGGACAGCAGCGAGTAACACTTGACCAAGTGACCCTAAAACCTACACCCCTAAACCCTAAACCCCTAAACCCCTAAACCCTATCAACCCTATAAACCTAAACCAGTTTTCACTTAACTGCTCATCCAGGACCCGCCAGGAGGCCCTTCCGCAAAGCCCTTCGGCCCTAAATCCTTCGAGGCAGCATTGAAGGAACCCTTAAAAGCTTTGGGGTCTAGGGTTTAGGGATAAACTATTAAAGGAATCCCAGAGGGGCCACATATACTACCATTATGGAATTAGGTCCCACAAGACCATCCTCAGTATGGTTGTGGGGACCTACCTCCAGAATAACAGTATATATGGGAGATTCCGAAAATTGGGGGGTACCTTATTTTGGGGTTCTTATAATAAGGATCCTACCATTGAGGGTACTATATGAGGGTTCCCTATTTTCGGAAACCCCCATATGGACCCTCTGGGAATATAAGGAATTCTCCCGAGGAACCTGGCCCGAAGACCCGAAGGAGCCTAAGAGCTAAACCCTGAGCCCCAAACCCTGAGCCCCAAGCCCTGAACCCTAAACCCTAAACCCTAAACCCCTACAAGCCCTATCCGCCCGAAAACCCTGTAGGCCCTTAACCCTACACGATCTCTCAGCCTTAAGCCCTTAAGCCTAAGCCGCTAAACCCTAAACCCCTAAACCCTAAACCCTAAACCCTAAACCCCTAAACCCCAACAACTGGGTGCTTGGGACCCCAATGTGCTCCTTCTTCTCACGGAACTGAAGGTCCAAGAGACCAGGTCTACCTCGAACTCATTAGGATTGGGGGTTTTAGGGTTTAGGGGGTTTAGGGTTTAGGATTTAGGGGTTTAGGGTTTAGGGGTTTAGGGGTTTAGGGTTTAGGGTGTAGCGGTTCATAAGGGTTTTTGGTTTGGGGTTTAGGGTTTAAGGCTTAAGGTTCAGCTTTTAGTTTGAAGGCTCCTCTTGAGATCCGTTTAGGGCCCTTTAAGGATTTTGAAAGAAAAGGGTTACTTCAAGGGCTCCTCTTGAGGTTTTAAGTCTCAAGGACATTGCGCTGAGGATGTAGGATTTGGGCCTAGGTTTAGGAGTTCTGGTTTGGGATCATCCGGAGGCTCAGCCTTAGGGACCAAATTACCCTGAAAAGTAGTGGCCGTATATACCCTTATGCTATCTATAAATCCCTATAGGGTATCTGAACCTTAGACCCTTTTAGGGTTCATTTCGTCCTTAAGGAAGAGAGTACTGACTGTACCCTAAGCCTCCGGGATCCTTGTGCCGATATCCCGATCCCTAGCGCCCAAAGCCGAAACTCTCATCCAGAAAGCCCAAGATCCTGTTAAAGGTTTAGGGTTTAGGGTTTTAGGGTTTAGGGTTTAGGGTTTAGGGTTTGGGGTTTGGGGTTTAGGGTAAGACGAAGTACATCTATGTTAGGGTGCATGCTATCATGGTCTGACTCGACCTATCGGCTCCATTGCATATGTTTGATTGGTTTCATTGCTTCTTTATGTTCGGATGCCAACCATAGATATGGTTCGAGCTTAGAAAGAAGTAGCCTGTATTGGCACAAGCGAAAAACGCCTAGACGTGGACAACGATGTTACATGGCGCTGGAAGTGTTTGTGAGACAACTATAATTTGGGGAATGCTGCAGGTAATATTCTATCGATACCGAGTGGAAAGCGGATGGGACGTGAGAGCACGTTGAATACGCTTCGTGTCGATCAGCCATTACAACTTGCCGTAGATGTTCGCTTGTTGGCTGTAGATCCATGGGTTTTCCTATGTGAATCGGTCGGCAATTCTATCGGCAATTCCACACTTCAAGTCTTGAAGCAGAAGGCCCTAAACCCTAAACCCTACATCCTAAACCCTAAGTCCTAAACCCTAAGTCCTGAACCCTAAACCCTAAACTCCTAAACCCTAAACCCAAAGTCCTGAACCCTAAGTCCTAAACCCCAAACCCTGCGCACAACGAGTCATAACGACAGCCCTGGTTTGCTTCAAAACCGACTTATCTTCGGGTTCCGATCCACACGCTTGATGGTATGAATCCTTCATTAATAAGCCTTAACCTACCTAAACCTACTATTTTGTAGGGTCCCTATAAATTCTATTTTAGGGCGTATAGTAAGGACCTACAAAAAGTAGGTTATGGCAGTTCAAAAAGGAGTATACCATAATTCACATAGTTTAGGGACCTTCAGTCCTTAAGTCCATGCAGGATTTATATCATCAACAGCATACGGTTTAGGGTTTAGGACCATGAACCCTGAACCCTAAACCCTAAACCCCTTTACAGTGATCGATCTTCCGAAGAGCAACAGAGTTGAAGTACTAACTGCAGGGTCGTATGATTGCGCCTCAAATTATGAGCAAGGCTTACTCGGCTTACTCTGGGGTTCAGGGGTTTAGGGTATAGGGGTGTGGGGTACGACAGTAGCATTTTGAATCTAAGCTGCAACTGCAATACCACCAGCAGCTGAGCCGGCCACCAACATGATTCCCCGAACTGAAGCTAGCGACCACCGCATCCCCGAGAAGCACCTGCAAAGCTTGTTCGAGATCTCTCTCTCTCTCTCTCTCTCGGTGACTCTCTCCATCTCTTGCTCGCTGTCTCTCTCTCTCTCTCTTTCTCTCTTTTGCTTGACGGCAAATCTGTCCACAAATTTCACGCCGCAGGACAAAAAAACGGCGGCCGCTTACGTTCCTCATAATTCATAAATACGTCCGGCATACGCAGGTCCCTTCTTCCCAGGTCCTAGGTCAGGCTCACACGAACTGCATCTTCACTTAAAACCCTATACCCTAAACCCTAAAACCTGAAACCTCGTAATTATGGTATCATTTTCTGAGATACACCCTCCTCAGCTGAGTGCGCAGGAAAGGACAATCAGTGTCGCAGACCATGCACGAAACACCCATCCATCATAAAACGAAGGGCTCCCTCCAGGCTTCCTGCGAGGGTTTCTATAAGCGGGACAATAAGGGTTTAGGGTTTGAGGGTCCATGTACTCAAATAGGATATACTTTGGCTTAAAGAAACCCCTACATAGCTAGTTTGGGGCCAAAGTACAGAAATTCGTTAAGCAATTGGACTCTTAAGGCCTTGCGGTCATGAAAGCTCACCCATGAAGGCTGCTCACCTTGACTTCTCTTGCCGCAACCATCCGCCCCAACTGTGACAGTTCCTACCGCAAAGTGATACTGCTTGTCCTAAAACCCAAGCCCTAATAAACCTTAAATAACCCGGGAGATCCGGCCTATACAGGAAATTGCCATAAAGATGGAAAGGGCAGTTCGTACGCCCTAGAGCAACCTCCAGGGAAGACTCGCACTCATCATCCTTCTTCCAGTGGTTAGCTTTTTTTTGAGGTTACTGCCAGAAAATGCGGGACCCCCTTATAGACTTGCCCTAACCCTCGAAGGACTCATATTTTAAGGCTTTTGGGCCCAAAGACCCTACTATATGAGGCTTTTCGGCTATTGTGATGCTACGGGTTGAACTGTCAATCACTAAACGTCAAATCCTGAGGTTGGTCCAGGCATATAGTGGCACCAGCGCTACACCAGTCTTCGAGGTAAAGAACGGGGCCTAGGCATGCCAGAAAGTCTAGAGATACAGTACTACACTTACGCAATTTATGGTCCCACACGCCAAAGAAAGGATGGGTTTTCGGGCCCTAAACCCTAAACCCTAAACCTAGACCCTAAACCTATAATTGCACAACGGTAGTAAACATGGACGATAAGCATGCGAGAGGCGTCCGATCAAGATTACATGGTATCATGCGATACCGCAAACCCTGGAACCGCAAAGACTGGCTGAGCCCTGGATAACATAATGTAGGGGCCTTAATAATTCAAATAGAGCCAATTGGGGTATATCACACTATACTTATAACAAGGATCCCTCCCAAAATAGTATTAGTACTTATTTAGGCCCCTATAGTACTCGCTGTAGAGGTCCTTTCAAAAGTCCTGGAGATGGCAAACAAAACAAGGTTCTGAGAGGGCTCTCAGGTCGAACCTGAGTCGCAAAAGTCGGAGAAGCCCCAAACTGTCGAATAAGGTTTGGGGTTTAGGGTTTAGGGTTTAGGGAAACTCCAAAACTCATACGATGGTTGATGATACTAAATCCTGCATTACCCATATAACAAGGGAAGATACCATAATTCCCATAGTCTCTCGGACTGAAGAAAGACTCGGCCCAAAGACCGTCACAGAAAGGCGCGACCTCCAGGGTCATGACACCCGGAGTAACACCTCCAGGTGTTCGAGGATTGCTGGGGCTTGGGTTTGGTTTCAGGGTTTAGGGTTTAGAGTTTCGGGTTTAGGGTTTACGGTTTAGGTTTTGGGTTTAGGTGTTAATCCTCACACCCTCAGTCGCGTGAGCGTTTCATCTTACTTTACATTCAGCCTAGAGTACACAAGCTGAACCTGCAACGCCAATGATAAGGCAGACCTTATGCAAGCCTTGAAACCTCCCCAATTTTGTGACTGCGAGACCTCTCACACCCAGAATTCCACAAATACCACATCAATAGCAAAACAGCCTCTGTTCCGCTTGCCCTGCCTACAACCTAACAGACCCAACTAGCGTCCCATACTATGACCCCCTTGAAGATAAACTCTTACAGCGGAAGGTCGTCTTAGGTTACAGGAAACCCTAAACTTTAAACCCTAAACTCTAAACCCTAAACTTTAAACCCTAAACCCTAGACTCTAAACTTTAAACCCTAATTCCTAAAAACCCGAAACTTATCCACGCAGCCTTCGGGCAGGTGGGTGAGCATGGCGTCGTGGATGTAGAGCTGGAGTCTCGGCGGTTCGGGGATGGAGATAAACAAAAAGCAATAACAACACTTAGGGTTTAGGGTTTAGGGTTTAGGGTTTAGAATAAGAAGTATAATAATAATCGTGGGATGTACATGAGTCTGTGAACCCATCTTTTGGCTAGTTTGGGGGGGACTTCTGGCCGTGAGTCCTGTTAGAGCCGCCTCGCTCGCCCGATCACTGAACCGGACTTGAGTTTTCTTTGTTATAAGGGCTGTAATGTAGAGTCCTTAATAGTTAGAATAGGGTTTTGGGTGTTCTTTATTATAGTTATAGTATGATATACCCAAACCCTATTCTAGTTACCTAAGGCCCCTACATTACAAGCGCTCCTGGCATAGAGCTGATAAGGTTTAGGGTTGGGGTTTAGAATTTAGGTTCTAGTATAAAGGCCATGTAGGCTTGAGGGGTGTACTTAACGGCTCTCGGGACTTGGCAAGTAGATTGTACAGCTGGGTGTGAGTCGGTATGAGTAGCACGTCCCATTTCGGAACTTATAGCCCCAATTACCACCTGTTTGCCAATAATACCCGCTGATCGCCTAAGCAAACCCAATACCCGCTCGAACTCCGAAGCGACAGCCCTTCCTCAAGGCACCCGGCTGAGAACATCTTCCAGCAGCGGCCACTGCCTTCAGGATTTTGGGAGGGAGACTGGGACTTTGTGGTATGTTGTACTATACTTATCCCTAAGCCCCCAGTTACCTACTATATAGGGTTTTAGGGGCTCTAGTACCTTGTAGAGTAGGTAACTGGGGGGTTAGGGTATTATAATAAGAAGCCCTTCAACATAGTATAGGTAATTGTTAAGGCCCGTATCTTAGAGCGACCGCCATGAAGTTGCATTGAGCTGCAACCCACAAGCCCTCCAACCCGGCAGCTGCACACGAAAGACGAAGAGAGTCTGTCCAAATCCGGATTCAGGGATCTTCCCGTTCTTGGTTGGAGGTTTAGGGCTGGGGCTTTGGGGGTTTGTGTCTGGGTTTGGGTTTAGGGTTTTAGGGCTAGCTTTCAGGGTCCAAATACCTAATAATCATATCCCTCTCCCAAACATTAACCTAGATAACTACTGTCCATAACCAAAGTGCCTTATGATTGGGTCCTTGGGACCCTGAAGACTACCTACCCTTCAGGAACCCTGGTAGAACCACTGGGTCCTTTGGACCCTTCGGGTAGGGCTTTGGGGTTTTCTGTATGGGGCTTTGAACCTAAAGCCTGAACCCTACAACCGCAGACCCCTAAACCCCTGAACCCTAAACCCCTAAAATTCGAAACCCCTAAACTCTAAAACCTTAAACCCCAAAACCCTAAACCCCTAAACCCTAAAATCCCCTAAGCCCTAAACCCTTGTGGGGTTTGCGATTCAGAGTTGAAACGGTATGGTATAGGGGCCTTAATCATTAGAATCGGGTTTTGGGGTTTCGGGTTTAGGGGTTCAGGGTTTAGGGTTTAGGGTTTAGGGTTCTCGTTATACTGTACTTGAAGGCCCGGGGGACTTACTAAGTAGGTTATAAGTAGAGTTATAATTACCCTAATGGAGTTACCCCAATTATAATGACTATAAGGAGAAACCCCAAAAGAGTATTGGTAATTCTCTGGGCCCCTACATGATGTATTATACAGAATGTAGTATTGGGCAGTGGGTATAGGGCTTAGGGTAGCTACCCCCACCCTGTAACAGTAAGGTAAGATTTGTTATACACGAATATATAACCCTTAATATGACCCCTATAGAGAGTCTAATGCTCCTGTGATCCCCATACGTTCCCCCACAGTTACAGGTAGTTCCGTAGATGTTTTTGCTTACAGTAGTCCCCTGTAGTAGTACCCCTACAGTAATCCCCTAAAGAAGTCCCCTATAGTAATGCCCTGTTCAGCCTAGAGTTTGGACTATAGCTCATGTTGGTCTCGAACATCGGATTCACAGAGGGGTTTTCTGCGTTCGTGACCCTTCCCTTTGGGTCCATGGATGCAGATAAAATCCCGAAGTCCTGTTTGTTCATTGATAACGACGAAGGCCGCGCTGAATCTCCGTGGATGAAAGGCTTCGCAGCTTCAGTTTGGGGTGAAGGTCGCAGCTTCGGGTTGAGAGGTTCCCCGAAATCCGCGAGGGTACCTTAAAGGTTCATGGGACTTAGTAACTAGGGCTCTAAATAAGGCAGCTATACTTTTAATTACTTATAACCTCAGTTAAGGGTACTTATAACTGTACTTATTAAGTCCCATGAACCTCCAAGTATCTTATGTGTGCTGTCTCATGTTCTTAGTCTTGTGCTACAAATCAGGGTGCACCTAAACGCAAACCCTATAGATTCCTAAACCCTAGACTCTAAACCCTAAACCTATAGATGCTCCCACCCGGTCCTCCAGCACTTCACCAACTCTTGAGCAGTTGAAGTCGTCTTGAAAAGCCTCCTCCGGCGAATTGGGGTGTAAGGTTTAGCCTAGTATAGAGGCCTTCATAATTACAAAAGGGTGTTGGCGTATATTATACTATAATTGTAATAAGGAGCCCCACCAAATAGCATTGGTAATTATTGAAGCCCCTGTATGACATGGCAGGCTCGAAGCTCTAAGTCTCGATTCAAAGGCCCATATCATGACTGATAATTACCCCACAGGCCCTAAAACCCTAAAAATCCCGAAAACGCAAACTCAGAGGCCCTAAACCCGAAAGCACCCTGAATCCCTGAACCAAGTCCCCAAAACCTCAAGTAGCCTAAAACCCCAAAAACCGAAGGCCCTAAAGCATAAACTGCTGGCGAAGCATGTGGGTGGTTGTCAAAATTAGGGTCCCTGTTGGGGTACCCTAAGTAGTAGGTGCCGTATTATAGTAAGGACCCAAAAGGGGACCATAATTTTGACAACCAATGTGGATCCGCGAGCTGAACTACAAGGTCTGGAGTACGTACATGTCTTGGTTTAGGGTTTAGGGTTTAGGGTTTAGGGTGTAGGGTTTAGGGTTTTAAAGGTGGGATTAAGGTAACGGTTAGGGTTTAGGGTTTTGCCTTAGATAAAGACTCTTATGTTGGTGATAAGGCTAATTAGAGTTTAGGGCTTAGGGTTAAGGTAGGATTAAGGATCCTTTATGTAAGGACTCTTACTTTGGGATGACCATACCTACCTCCAGCCGACCTTTTAGGGGTTGTGGGTCTACTTAGAGGCCCAGGGGACTTAGTAAGCCGGTGCTAAGAGTTGGGCTAACTCCATTTTGGGTTCTTATAACTCTACTTATAACCTACTTACTAGGTCCCCTGGGCCTCTAAGTACGTAGGGATCAGGGATGAGGGGTATACGGTTGAGGGGTTGAGGGTTTAAGGAGCTTTCCGATAGTTGACTATTCGCCACGACAGGATGCCGGATACCCTATACCCTGAATCCTGAAAGCCTAAACCCTGGAGCGGTCCAGGGTTTACGGTTTTTCGGGTTTTTAGGGTTTAGGGTTTAGGGTTAGGGTTTAATTCGCGAAACTTTTGCAAGAGGGCAGTTCTGGTATCAGTCCTCCTGCATCTCCAATTCCTGGCAGAGCACACTATACACTGAACTCAACAGAGGGCTTCTGGGGCTGAGGGCTTAGGGTTTTAGAGGAAGGGCTATGGGCTTTCAGGCTTAAGGTTTTAGGGAAAGGGCCAAGAGTTGAGGGGGTTTAGGGTTTAAGGTTCACTGCTTGCGATTTGGGTTTGCATCGGGGCTTAAAGGCTCGAAGAATAAAGTTAGCCAAACTAAAGCTGAGTCACGTTCAGCAAGGAGTTTGCAGAAGTGGCAGAGCTGTAGGCTTAGGGTCCAGGGGCTATGGGTATCAGGTTCGGTCATGACTTGGAGGATCCGTGATGTAGGCTGACATTGGTGTTATGGCACGTAGGCCCAGGAGTGTAGCTGACAATCTCAGACATTACATTAGGCTAAAGCACCACGGACTTTAGCAGCTTTGGAACAGCGCACAAGCTGAATGGCTCAACCCGAAACCTCAAAAGCCAATGCCCACCCCCCCTGGAAACCCTAACAGAGCACATTCAACATGTAGATGCTCCGAAGCTCCACATGGTACTCCCACCAGCCTACTGAACCAAAATCCCTTCGCCGTAGAACTTCTACACCAGCGGTGTGTAAATCAGGCAAAAAAAAACACTGCAGGACCCCTACAGAGATAAACACAACAGCGCACTATACTGCACCTCAACCCGACCCTAAAGTGCCCCGGCTGTATTGCAGAGGGCTCTAGGATAAGGTCGTAAAATATCAAGATGTAGAATCCTTACTTCATGGACCCTGGTTCACAAGACAAGCCATGGGTAACCCTGAGTTAGCCGACAATCCCAAACCTTAAAGCCCGAACCCTAGATCTTGAAGCCTAAACCCAACAAACCTTCCACCTGGAATCTAAATCCTATAAACAAATTACTGTAAATTTGTAAATATACAGATTTATGCTTATACACATCTGGAAGGGTATAAGTATATATATATATATATATATGTGTGTATACACCTACATACACACGCACACACACACACACAAAAAAAAACCTACCTACCAACCTACCTACCTACCTACATACATACATACATACATACATACATACATACATACATACACACATACGCACATACATACTTACATAAATATATACATACATACATATATACATACATGCATACATACATACATACATACATACATACATACATACATACATGTACGTATACACGTGTATGCACATGTGTATATAACTGTGTATATATATATATATACACAAACTCAGTCTACAAATCCAGACTTCTCGGGGCTCCCAACACACGGAAGCTTTGACCCAGAGACCTCGGTGTAACCGACAACCCTGGAAGAACCCGAGTAATATAGGGACCTCAATAATTACCTGTACTATTTTGCGGGTTCCTTATTATGATTACAGTATAATGGGATTCCAATTATAAAGGCCACTACACAAAAAGCACCCCATACTGAAAGCCCCGTAGTACGTTTTAAGAAGCCAACGACCGAACAAAAATCAGCCGCAACATACAAGCGCTCTAGATGGGAAATACAAGTCTCGGACAAACTAATGGTAACTTATATAATGCAACAACCCCTAGACCTTAAACTTGGGATGCACAAACCCTAAACTCCGAAAACCCAAATAACCCCGAACCCTAAACCCTAAGAGTCTAATTTTATAAGCTCCCACACCCTAAACTCCAAACTCCACAAAACCCTACACCCTAAACTCCAAGCCCTCCGGGTCCACTGAAACAAACATCGCAACTCATCGCCAGGTCCCGTGCCTTGCTGGGCTTTGCCCGAATGGTGCGGGAAGCCGGCTGATGCCCTGTCACGAGGACCCCAAACCCTAAACCCTAAACCCTAAACCCTAAACCCCTAAACCCCCAAAGCCTGA